CTGTAATCCCAGCTACTTGGGAGGTTGAGACAGGAGAATCGCTTGTACCTGGGAGGCGGAGGTTGCAGCGAACCAAGATCGCACAATTGCCCTCCAGCCTGGGCAACAAGAGCAAAACTCCGTCTCAAAAAAAAAAAAAAAATTAGGCCAGGTGCAGTGGCTCATGCCTGTAATTCCAACACTTTGCAAGGACAAGGTGGGCAGATCACCTGAGGTCAGGAGTTCGAGAACAGCCTGGGCAACACGGCAAAACCCGTCTCTACTAAAAATACAAAATCAGCTAGCATGGTGGCAGGCACCTGTAATCCCAGGTACTTGGGAGGCTGAGGCAGGGGAATCGCTTAAACCCGGCAGGAAGAGGTCACAGTGAGCGGAGATCACACCACTGCACTCCAGCCTGGGTGAAAGAATGAGACTTCGTCTCAAAAAAAAAAAAAAAAAAAAAAACAAGACACAACAAAAATTAGCCAGGTGTGGTAGTGTGCATCTGAAGTCCCAGCTATTCCGGAGGCTGGGGTGTGAGGATCACTTAAGCCAGGGAGATGCAGGTTGGAGTGAGCCAAGGAGACTGTGCCACTGCACTCCAGCCTGGTCAACGGCTGGAGTTTTGAAACCCTGTCTCAAAAACAAAAAAAAAAAAGAAAAAAGAAAAATATTGGATTGCCAGATTCAAGGTGGGCAACGAACACTTTTCATCCTTTGCTCAGGCTCACACTCTTTCTTGGCCTTTTTTAACCCTGGTTCCCTAACCTAATTTCCCATAAAACATAGGATCCTACTTCATAGGATTTATGAGAAAATGCTATTAAACACAATTCACTGTAACAAATTTTGCTTTATAGACACCTGTTTATACCTATAAAAACATGCTGTTTTTCCTCTATAACTGAATAAGGTCCATGTATATTAAGATTTGAAGATCCAAAATGACATTAAGAGCCCAGATCGCACCTTGTTTCCATCCTATACACAGCCAAAACCAAACTAAGAATAAATCTAAAGATGTCTTGTGGCCCAGAACTACTCTACAAAGTTAATGATCAAATTATCCCCAGCTTAAAAACTCAGAATGAGTCCACAGCCAGATGTTTACTCTGGGGCAGAAATTTAGTTCAGCCTATCCCAAATTCCCAGAAATATATCAAGCTCTGGAGCCCCTGCAAAACAAAGGATCTGTCAGCCTCTCCTCAGGATGAAATTTGGCCCTCAAGTCAGGCTCTTAACGAAGGTAGACTTCAAGTCGGGGAAAATCATTCTGAGGCACTCATTCTATGTTCACCAATATAGGTATTCTGAAAGACATCTAGAGTTAAAGAAGTAAACGAAACGCCCATGAATTTCTATTTCTTTTTTCTAATATATTTCACATTGATTTTGATGAAAATAAAAATGACATCAAAACAATTATCTATCATAAACAACATAATCATTTTTTAAACAGAATGTAGTTTCACAAAATAAAATACAGTAAAACTATTACTATAACAGAAATAAGGGGACCTCCACAAAATTTTAAATCTTCATTTTCTTCATACTCTGAATGAAAGGTTTCCTAAGTAGGGATTCGTTATATAAAACATTACTCCATATTAACTGTGGTCTTCTACCATCTTCCATGTGACAAATTTTATGAGAGATACATAAAATCCAGATATTGGCAATATCCAATTTTCCTTACCTTAAAAGTTATCAGTTCCACAATCTGTACTTGACCATAAAATAGTATACTGTATTTGCCTTATGGAGAAAACCTTAAAGACTGTTTCCTAAGGTGGACCCAATGGGAGATTACACAGGTTTACGTGAAACAAGGCAGTAAAAGAGTAGATTAATTCCGCCGGGCACCGTGGCTCACGCCTGTAATCCCAGCATTTGGGGAGGTCGAGGCGGATGGATCAACCTGAGGTCAGGTGTTTGAGACCAGCCTGGCCAACATGGTGAAACCCCGTCTCTACTACAAAATACAAAAATCAGCTGGGCCTGGTGGTGGGCACCTATAATCCCAGCTACTCGGCAGGCTGAGGCAGGAAAATCACTTGAACCCAGGAGGCGGAGGCTGCAGTGAGCCGAGATCGTGCCACTGCACTCCAGCCTGGGTGACAAGATCAAGACTCCGTCTTAAAAAAAAAAAAAAAAAGTAGATTAATTCCTAGTAATTTCTAGTGATAAAGTATTTGGTCCTGTAATTTGCAACCTGGAATTTCTGTCCTCAACTTGACCTCTCCTCCAACAAATTAGAGAACACTCAAGGTTATATATAATTCCTTCATCAGATTCTTTGAAAA